CTTTCTCATGGCGAGAGTTCATCTGAAAGAAAAGTGTTGGGAGGTGATTGTGCGGACGCGGCAGACTGCGACCCCAAGTCAGAACCGGAGCAATGATCGCTGGGGTGTAAAGCTTCAGAAAGATCGACATGCTTAACTGTTTAAAGATCAGAATCCCAGGTCGACGGGCCGCTCTCCGAATAGAAGAGAAGCAATCAATAGCATAACAATCCAATGGTGATTCAATCTCAGAATTTCACGAAAGCGGAGGGTCGAAAAGATGGCAGCAGTCTAAATACACATGAAACATTTCCTTGACAGAAGCAGCAGGCGTGCCCGCACCGAATGGACACCAGTGAGGCCCAAGACCCGGACGCAGAGCACAACTGACGACGCAGTGGTGGGGAAACTTCGAGGGGGATAGGGACTACAGCCAAGAATAACTCAGCAATTCGTCGGAGACAGTCTGCACATGCAACGCGGTACTTGCAGGGATTCGAAGGACCAGTTTGGGCTACCCGTGGAGAATACTGCCTCGATATGGATCCGGGTACCACCGGCGTTAGACGGTCGAGGATTGCATATAGGAATGCAAAGCTTTTGTTTAGTTTGGAGCCAGATTTTGGGTACGAACGGATAGAAGCAGGACTCCGGAATGATCTAAGTGTAACAAAATTATCAGTGAATAGGAGACAGGAAACCACATGGTCGGTGCATCGGCAAAAATACGCTGGTATCCAATCCCCGCATTAACATCGATATCCTCCAGATCTCATGCCGCACGATTCCGCTTGAACGTCTTCACATGATTTTGTAGCCACTACAGCGTGCTAGCAATCGCCACTTCGGAGAGTCGACCTCCAAAGCGACTAGAGGGCACCTCAAGCAATCCTTGCCTCCACCATCAGGCGCAGCGACGGTAATCGGCATTATTGAGAGTCAAGCTGCGGAGATGCGGCCAAAGAATTGAATCGCGCTGCGATAACGCTGACAGGAACGGGTGCAGTCGACGTGGAGAAGACTGAGGTGTTCCAGCGCGGGGAATGCGGTGGCGAATTGCCTATGCATCGTGCATTCGGAAATGAATGACAATTTGAGGGTGCGGAGGGCGGGGAACTCGAGCTCTCATCGCTCAGCGACGTCGCGAAGCTGTCCCAGCACATGCGACTCAAGTTGGTTAAGGCAAGTTCTTCGAGCAATGGGGTGCAGAGGAGACGGCAGAAGGACTGTAGATCCTGATGATGGAAATGTCCGAGGGTGAGAGTCGTAAGCGAGGAAATGTATGATTTAAATGCAGCACTCGACAAATGGAGCTGCGGAGGAGTGGAGCGGAGGGAAAGATGGCGGAGACATGAGATCGCCTCTGTTCGCCGTGAAGAGGCGTCGAAATGCTCAGCGAGCTGCATAACGAGGCGGGGGAAAGTCGCAAAGAGATCCAGATTCTCCAGGTGATCAACCAACGAGGAAACCCCGGGGATTTTTAGAGAAACGCCGCGGAGGACGAGTGATTTCAGACTGGGCATCGAAGCAAAAGGAAGACTCGTTGGCTATACGAGTAGGATTCACTTCTGCTGACGCGCCAGTTCGAGGGACTCTAGCCACCGTGGAGTCTTGCGCCCAACACTGTTCTGGATGGCCGATAAGTTTTCTGCTGTAGTAATAATGCAAAGGCTCCGCCAGCGATGTGGTGCCAGCCAAATCTTCAGGACAATACCCATAAAATCAAGGAATTGGTTTCCTGCAACGTTGAAGGGATATCCAACAAGATATCCAACCGCAAGTTCCCGGATCTCTAATATGTTCGTCTAGCATCTCAGAGTGACCGGGGCGGCAGTTCAAGAGACGAATCTCGGTCCACAGCTCCGGGAGCCCTGCGCTACATTGCGCCAAAATCTGCAGACGCGTGTTAGGGTGTGCACTGAGGGTAATCTGGGTAGCGCAATGGGTGTCCGATCGACGGGAAAGGAGGTGAAGAAGAAAATAACGCAGATGAGTTCCGATGGAAGAGACTGTATCCCTTGCATGGTCGTTCGGGATGAGGTGGCTGACAGTGTGATTTTTGTCGCTGTGAATGCGTGTGAATTACGATTGATGATCAAGGCACAGCATAAGTCGGATCGCTCTCCCGAAGATAAGATGTGGCTTGAAACGAATCAAATATGGAGGTCCCGTTGAAATCTTGAGAGAAGATATTATGGACTTACTCTCTTTAAAAATTACGCACGTCTGAAGCTTTTTAAACTCCGCAATCAAGCTCTCCGCTCGTCGGAACCGGTGGCCGAGACCTGCCCTAAATTACGGAATAACTTATTTATTCTTCACCGACTATTGGTCAACTTATCCGAATCGCTTTAGATTCGCTCTAAAGAACTCTGCAGATTAGGTGAAGCCAAGACTTTCAAACATGCTTAATTTTATAAGAAGAGGAGCATACTCGGTGCCGGCGACCCGACGAGCGCACGCGGCTTGGGTATTCGGATGCATGCCGCAATGCCACTCCCATGCAATCAGCTTCCATCACTTCTCCTTCAAATAAACTCACAAATCTCCTTGGATTCTCCGGTAGAGACCGCTCGACCAGGGCACATCTGAAAGCACACCCCAGAAGTTGATTTGATATCTGAAACCTTCGTGGAACCGCTTATTATTTCACTTCATTCCATCTTTAAGTAGTGGATGGCGGGCCGCTTCGCGGCCCGTCAGCCACTCGTGGAATCACACATTAAACAGAAGGATCGAGGATAATAATAGTGAACAGTGGAAACCCCCACCCGACTCCAGATAGAAGTTTTGCACGGTTTTGCGCAAAGCATAGTAGTCACTGCAGGTACGTATACCTGGTTGTTTGTTGGCTCTCAAAACAGTCACTGGGTCTATTTAAAATAAAGTCGTGCAAGATAGCACATTGTGTTCGGTTTTAACCGGGGATGGTGGTTAAACAGGGGACGTCAGATAGCACAGAGGAGTTTGGATAAGAGGAAGTGGAGATAGCACACACCGTTGTGGCAGTAACGAAAAGTTACTAGCATCCTTGTTGGCTCGACGAACCTAAAAATGGTATCCAAGGGCATTTGGGATAAATGACTGATTTCAACCATACTGTATTATTAAAATCAATTCGTCAAGGGGTGTGATGTGTGACCCAAAGTTCTGTTGAAATAAAGGTAGCCGCGCCTTTACTCGGGAGTTAGCAGAAGACCCTCGCAAACGCGCAGGGGATTCATTCGACAATTACTACGTACTTATACAATACCTTGTCAGGAACAAATATATCTAAGTGGGGAGAATATAACTAAGTAGAGGGAAATGCAAGGTACAGTGCGGCGAATGGAAGAAGGCAGTGCAAGGGAGTAGGTAATTGTTCCTGTTGCCTTGATACGCCAGTTGGTGTCGGCGGTGACTGCGAGCGACGGACTCGAATTCTAACAAGTTCAAATTCGTCAATTTGTCAAGGGAACTCGAGCTGCGTGACATCCCCCAAAATTATCGTCAATGCATAAAAATATTTCAGGAGTTATGGTGAATGCACAGTGACTCAATGAAATAATTTAGGAATGACCTGAGCAATTTATTTTCAACATATCCTTGAATGATGCAGAAAAATGCATTTTTTTGGTTGAACTTGTTGAACCACGATATTTGTTAGATTTGAAGCCAAAAACCTTAAAAATGGGCAAGAAATTCAGTAGGAAGTGCTCACAGCTGAAGAAAATTGCTCCAAGCACTCCTGAACCAAAAATTTGAACCTATCGTGACGAAAATTATATTCGTCAAGAGCCTCGGTGACGCGTGACAAGGTTGCAAAAATTGTCACGTCAAGCACCCGTGACGCGTGACAGACGAATTGATTTTAATAGTACAGTAGTTTGATCTATACCTGCCTTCGGATTAGATCATGTTATTCTATCGTCTAGCCGCGATTTATTTCGAGGGAATCCTTCATATTAGTTTACAGATGGAAATTTGGAGAGTAAATGCCGACTAGATTGATATAATTTCCTTGCGTTGTTTTCTTTGCGGTCCACAGTACACGAGAATTTAGATGCAGAGTCTACCAGCTTCCCTTGAGCCTCCCGCTGAAATTGTCTGGATTAGAGATCAATAGCGAGGAGATGTAAAATGTACGCTGAACAAGACTGAGGCACTGTAAAATAAAATAGAAGATCACGGGCAAATACTGGATATCCGGACTCTGGGAGTCGAACTCAGGCTGCCCACATCACTATCGAAATTGCAGCAAAATTTAGCATAAGCGGGTGTGCCGTGAGCTACGTCCGAATTACTCTCTAGCTTAAGTCGCAGGTTACGAAGATTCGGTTTCGACCGTATCTCACTGTAATGACCTAAAATAACTATTTGAATGAGAGTGGGGATGCCCATGAGAAAATCAGTATTCGTGTAATTGTTTTCCCGGCGGCCACAAGCCTGCTACTGTCATCAATTCCCTGGCGCGCCAAAAACGACTGGTCCGAGTCTAGGACATTCAGACGCTGGGAGCCGAACCCAAGCTTCCCGCAACCCCTAAAGAAGATTCAGGGCAGAACAAGCGGGCAAGCGAGTGCGCAGCATGCACCACGTCGAGTTTCTTTCCTTGCTACGCACTGAGTTGAGTGAACACAATTTCGAACACCAAGTCGAATCCCGAGTCCCCAGAGGTGGGCTGAAATCATGAGTGTCAAACGAATACGCGTGGTTGAATTGAATGCGTAAGCCCCAGGATCGGGCGTTTTTTCAGTAAGATAAAAGAAAAAGAAATTCTTAGGTGCGGTCCAGACGCTGGGAGTCGCACAGGTTTCTCGCATCATACTGGTGACGCAGCTTCAGTGCGAGCGGGCATGCAGCGCGCACCATTTCCGAGGCTCTCCTTTGTATTGGATACTTCACCAGGTGCACGAAATGATAAATCTGGGTCCAAGCTTGACATCGACCACGCTTCCTCAAACTAGGAGAAGAGACTCGCCTCGCGAAAGCTGTAGCCACAGAAACGGGGGGCAAAAAAAAAGGTTTCTTCAATGCAGAAATTCGGACACCGGGAGTTGAACCCGGGTTTCCCGCATTATTGCCCTTGGATAGTATTCTCGTATCACAAGCGGGTGTGCACCATGCACCACATCCGAATTACTCTCTGGTTTGAGTCGTAGCCCACGAAGGTTCGTTTCGACCGCCACTGTAATATCTGGGAAATCTTGTCTTATTTGAGAGTGAGAAGTGGCGAGTTGCGACGGCGCCTATGGGAAAATCAGCATTCCTGTAATTGACTTGGAGGGCAAGTTAGAACTGTTGTACAAAGGTAAAAAGACAATGGTATTCCCCGGATATTCAGACGCTGGGAATCGAGCCCAGGCCTCCCGCGTTAGCATCTTCCTTTACTATCCAGCACAAGCGGGTGTACACCATGCACCACGTCCGAGATTATTTCCCTGTTGTGCACCGGGTTGAGTGAACATAATTTCGAACTCCAAGCTGAATCCCGAGTTCCCAGAGGCAGGCTGAGCATGAGCGTATTATGAGAATAGATGTCAAAAGGATGGTTGAATCCATTCCGCAAGCCGCGCCGCATCAGGCGTTGTTTTCAAAAACGAAAAACGAAAAAAAGGCCAGGGCCACAGACCATTCGGACCCTGAGAGTCGAACCCGGGGTTCCCGCATCATGCTTTCCGTGATTGAATGCCTGACAGTAGCGAGTGTGCACCGTGCACCACATCCGAGGCTCTCCTTTATATCGGATACTTCATGAGGTGCACGAAACGTGGAAGTTATAACCCCAGAAACGGGGAGCAAAAAAAAATGCCTATTATACCGGACATTCGGACGCCAGGAGTCGAACCCGGGTTCCCCGCGTTATTACGCATAGCTAAACTCCTTGACATCACTGGCGGGTGTGCGTCGTGCACTACGTCCGAATTACTTTCTAGATGGAGTCGCAGGCTACGAAGGTTCGTTTCGACGTAATTCACTGCCAATAATTATGTGTGAGGGAGAAGTGGCGAGTTGCGACGGGCCCTGTGAGAAGAGTATTCGTGTAATTGACTTGGAGGGCAAGTTAGAACTGTTGTATAAAAGAAAAAAGACAATGGAATGTTATTCCACGGATATTCAGACGCTGGGAGTCGAACCCAGGTTTCCCACAACCCATCCTACGCAAATTCAGATGCAGAACAAGCGGGTGTGCACCGTGCACCACGTCCGAGTTTCTTTCCTTGTTACGCGCTGAGTTGAGTGAACACAATTTCGAACTCCAAGCTGAACTCCGAGTCCCCGGAGGCATCTCAGTAGGGGTACAATATGCGGGAGGGTGGATGTCAAAAGAATAGGAAGGTGGTCGAATCCAATCTGTAAGCCGCCGCATCGGGCGTTGTTTTCAAAGAAGAAAAAGGGGCAGAAAGGCAATGGCCTGGAACATTCGGACGCTGGGAATCGAACCCAGGCTTCCCGCGTCATAACCACGAGCACTTTCAGTGCGAGCGGGTGTGCACAGTGCACCACGTCCGAGGCTCTTTCCTTGTTCTGCACTGGCTGAGTGAACACAATTTCGAAGTCCCGCGAGAGCGAAGCTGAACCACCCCAAGGTCGCGGAGGCATCTGAGCATGAGCACATTAATGTGAGGGTGAATGTCAAGTGAGTAAAATAATAGGTGGTTGAATCCATTGCGCAAAGCTGCGCATCAGGCATTGTTTTCAAAAACAAAAACAAAAATAGAAGAAAGAAAGAAAGAAAGAAAGAAAGAAAAAAGTACAAATCAATGGACTATTCCGCTGGGAGTCGAACCCAGGATTCCCGCATCACTATATACATAGCGCAACGATTAGCACAAGCGGGTGTGCGCCGTGCACCACGTCCGAATAATTCTCTTGCTTTGGTACCTTTGTATGTGGGCAAAATTGAGATCGAGGTGCCAGCCTGAGTGGCAAAAGGCTCTGCAATTGCCTTAGAAGTTAGCCAAGTACATATGTGGTCCAAAAGCCTGCGGAGACAGGTTGACAGAAATTAAAAGGTCGTTGCCGTGGCCTTGGGCCTGATTTTTGACGTATCGACTCCGAGTGTGAGGAGGTGAGAGTTGGGAGGAGGAAGCGCTGGTGATGCCATCAATCTCATGGTTGCGTCTGTTTACCTGCGGCCTCCCGCTTTCTGTTATCGCCAGACATGACGCTCTCGGGCCCAATAATGTTTCCACTCCACTGGTCAAGTGCACGTTTATGGAGCTCATTTACTCGTCAAGATGAGGCTGAATACCATCTGAGTTATCCTCTTCCTTTCTGACTGCCAATCGACTTGGATTTGAAAGTCTTTCCGACTCTGCTTGCTTGCTTTTCTTTTACCCTGCTCTGATTCCAATTCGCCGGAAGTCCAAGTTTCTACGCGCAGAGAATATTGGCCCCCAAACCGGGATACAAAATGCACGCGTCCCCACCAAACTTGGTCCCGACGATCTCTTTGGGCGCGCTGCCGCAAACCCCGGCGAGCGAGTGGGCCGATAACATGAACGACCTTATCAGTGCACACGTTACATCAGCAAAAGCACAATTCACGCGCCATCTTTTGATCTTGTGATGTCGCGTAGCTCTCGTGGACGCGACTACGCGAGCCACGAGACCGCGAGACCGCGAGAGCATTTTGAGTGTTGAATATAATTGACTTCGCTTTTTGGAGGAGGAGGAGGGAGAAGGGAGGAGGGAGGAGGGAGAACGGTAAAGAGGACATCGATGAGGTAAGTGATTTGACGTCCTCTTAAAAAGTGTAATTATGTAAGTAATCCTGTAAGATATTTGTATCTCAATGACTGGACACCTCCATTGTAAGGAAAAAACTCAGAAGATAGATCGCGATATATAGATGTCAAAGACAAATTTTGACAGCATTCGACAGGAAGCCCCATGTCTCAGAAAATTAACATTTTATTCCTATTTTTAATTACTCTTCCAATCCTCAGAGTATTTCCGTTGCGAAGCTGTCAAGAATAGAAAATATTGTAGAGTATCTGTCTGTACTAATCTTACACAGTATGTAGAAATTCATGTGTATGGTGATCTACATATTTATTAACAAAGAAGGCACGAAATGCGTCGAGGGAATAAGAGAAGTGAAAGTCCTCGGGTAAAAGAGCAGACCCGTAAACAGGGAGCAGATGTGCGGCGCGCGCTATGCAATCAAGAGTGACAATGGCCAGTGATTTGCGGCCAGCCTGCATTTCTGGAGTGACCACCCACATGCCGGTGTCGGGGTCGACGGCGTCGCCATGGAGACAATACCAATGGACCAGAGCACAGGAGTGGCTCTTACCGGTGGTGTCGGTGAAGGAAAAAAAGAGCAGGACACGGCCGATGACCATGCCCTGCATCCCGGGAAGATCTGCATCAGTCTCAATAAAGACTGTGTCGCGGCGAGGATATAAGCCGTGCCAATTGGGATGGGAGCGGATTCGTTCACGAGACATCCCGCCCACCCCACAGAGATCACTCGGTGCGTAAAAGCGGGCAATGGCGGAGTGATGGACATAGATGCGGCCGAGGAAATTGGGGCAGAGGTCAAGGGGAATATCTTCGTCATTTTCCGAATCGGGATGGAGCTGAGAATAGAGAAATCGGCGAAAAAGCGTGGGGAATGTGGGCTGCTGGATGTATGTAGCCAGAGGCTCGAGACGCCGGGGATAGTTACGTTCTAGACAACAGTCAGGTATGTCTCGATGGGGCAGAACAAAAAAGGAAATCTTACCATGAGTAATGGCGAGCTCGACAGAAGACAGTGAGCGTGGGCCAGGCACATCGCCACCGTCGTCGTCTTCATCATCTGCCTCTGCATCGGGACCAGGAGCCTCTGGTCCTTCACCACGCATGACCATTTCAGCATATGACAGCGCCGTGCCTGCCATCATACCCTGTTTTTTGAATATGTTCCTGAGCGCCGCAAGTCTGTCGAGTCGGCATATTGTGCGCAGCATCTGGATGAGTGCTTTGTACCGACTGGAACGACGCCATGGCTCTTTGACAGCTTTGATATGCTTCGACTCGGTGATCGAGGAACAGAGTCCGTTGGGGGAGCCGAAAAGATGGATGGAGGGTACATAGTGGACGAGAGAATGCTGCCGGGGGAGGGAGATGTCGATGCGAACCCCAGTTTGAATGAAGATGTCACGATGATGGTGGAAGCGGGTCAGAGCTCCCTTGAGCTCCTCAATGGTGTCCGAATTGAGAGAGTTTCGGCGGGCTAGATAACAGAAGTCCATAAAGGACGCAACACATTTGACCATTTGCGGCGGGACGTGGCCTGCAATTGCTGCAATATAGACCTGATAAAGGTATGGTGTGAGCTCCTCGGTGTTAATACATATGTAGTACGGGCTGCATACCTTCATCAAAGCCTTCGAGTCATCGCCAGTCCACTGGGTAAAATCCCGACCATCCGGAAACCGACGCAAGCCGGGGAAGGAAGGAACCGCTGCAATGCTATTAATGTATTCATCATCAGTGAAAGTAAGACGGGAATGACGCAGGCAGGCCATACCGATGATCAATGTCCGCAATGATTTCGAGCGCCCTAGATTCGCCATATGTTGTATGCAGATATTGGTTCACCCACTCGACAAGGTGGTCTTTGAAGGTGCCCTTGATCACCTGGTGCAGCAGGTCGGGTGACAGGAGCTCATGAATGTCCGCGCGAGGGAAACCGTGTGTAAAAGGCTAGAGAATTTATCAGAAGACTACGGTGGAGGACTATGATAAACTTACCACGACATCGGCACGGATTCCAAACTCATCCCACAGAGTTCCCGGATCGAAGCAAGTGATCAGGAAGTCGGTTTTCTCATGGGTCCGGCGCCGAGCACCTTGAGCATCGAGGTGATGTGGTTTTGCATCGCACCTGATGAGGGGTTAGTCGTCAGTATCATATAAGCAACGAAGACGAACTTGGGACACCAATTTTGGACGATGGAAGTGAGCCAGACCTGCTCGGGATAATCTGCAATGTAGGGCCCGAGGCCGTAGATGGCTCGGCGGAAGTGGCCGTCAGGGCATTTGATGACCTCGGGTGTCGTCATTCCCTGCTTGAGAGGCTCGAAGACCTGGGCTAGGCATGCATGGTACAGCTGGCGTACAAAGCGCTGATACACGGGTGACTTTCTATGTTTCTTCGTCGCTGTTTGGAACAGATAATTGTGAGAAATTGCCCATTGGAAGTAACTCGAGCTTACTTTTAGGTATAGGGAGGAAGGCGACAGGCAGCACACCATTCCCATGAGCACGTCGAGCAACTCCGGTGAGCACTCCTGGTGATTGGTAGACCGGGTGGTACTCTTGATGTCCGGTAGCCACGGAAACAGTCGTTTTGTCACTGCCCGCCACGATTGGGACAAAGGTCGCGCCGTGTGTCGAGGCGTCTGCCCGGGATATTTTGTCCTGCCATATATCTTTCAGTTCATGCACAAATGAATAGATAAATCAGCACTCACTGCTTGCGTCCAAGCCCAATTTGCGGACATCAAATTTGACCAAACACGTCTACCCTGACCGTCGAATTGCCGGTACGGGGCATAATCAATTTTATCCGCAAAGTCGGGATTCTTCAGCTGCTGGTGGAGGACCATCCGAGAGTCGCGCGCACACAGCTCGTATGTCTCGGTCATCCATTTTGGAGGTACCGGAGGTTGAGGGCCCGTGTAGCGTATCTGATAGACTTTCCACGGCGCGTCCCCGTGCTGAATCGAATCGATGGTGTCGTAAAGTTCTTGCGCCGTGCGCCAGGGTGGACTGTCGCCATACTGAAGGACTTGCGCTGCCCAGAGATCAAGGGCCGTATTTATTTCCCCAGCAGAGCTTTGTAGCTGGACGAAATGAAAGTGGGCAAAGTCAAAGTCCGCACGCGATTCAAATGGTGCAAATGACTCCGGCAGCTGTCCATCGAACTGACTGAGCGGTGGGGGAGCGCTGCCCGGGGCCAGATAGGTTCCATGACGGTCGCAGGGAAGGCCTATGAAATAAATCAAGTCCACGACTATTGCGTAAAGAGGTTCAAGAACTGACCATTCAGTTTAGGATGGCGTATCTTAATGTGTCTGTGCGTATCATCTTCCTCTTCGTCGTCGTCGGAGACAGGCGTGAACTCCCTATGAGCACTGTTGTGGTGGCGGGTACGCCCTCCTGAAGTGGTGAAGCTGCGGGGACAATCGGGACATTGGTAGCTTGGCATGTGGATGCAAACGGACTTGGAACAAACTCAGAATGGGATCAGGTGAGACTAGGCAGTTGGATCACGAGCCGACATATCAACTTGTGTCAAGTCCGCATACTTACCTCGAAAGAAAATCTCCTGGCTCCTCAATAATGCCCCCGAAAAAAAGTAAAGCCTCTACAGTAGGTTTTCAGCATGCATTAGCAGTAGAAGTACGACTAACCGTGATCACACAGGCTTCAGACCGTCCGGCAGCTCCACCAAAGGCTAAAGGAAAAAGAAAAGTCCCTGGAGTAAGCTTCGAGCATAATTGAAGCGTAAAATT